GTCTCCTAGTTCTTCCTCTGCAACTAATCAAGACTTCTTCCTCGAAAGGCCGTCTGATTTTTCTGACTACTTCGGTTTCCAGAAGCTTACCTACAACTCCAATCTTGGACTCTCAGTTACAAATGATCCTTCACTTTGCTCGATGATTCCGGCACAGTTTAGCCCCGGAAACATGGCTGGTTCTGTCTATCAGACACCAATATGCGTGAAACCCTCGATTAATCTTCCTCAGGACAACAGTTCGAGTCCTGTCTCAGGAGGAGATCATGTGAAGCTAGCTGCACCTAATTGGGAGTTTCAGACGAACAACGCCTCGAATTTCTACGACAATGGCGGATTATTCTCATGGTCATCAATTCCAAACTCTTCTTCTTCATCATCTTCACTAGTCAAACCAAATCATAACTTTGAAGAAATAAAATGGTCAGAGTATTTGAACACACCCTTCTTCAATGGGAGCACTGTACAGAGTCAAAGCCCTCAACAAAACTACATCAAATCAGAGACAGATTACTTACCCAATGTTTCAAACATGACAGATCCTTGGAGCCAAAGCCAAAACGAGAATTTGGGGACAAGTGAAGCTAGTGACGTGTTCTCCAAGGATCTTCAGAGAATGGCTGTCTCTTTTGGTCAGTCTCTTTAGCTTCTCTTTTGCTTAATTCTAACAGATGTAGAGAAACTATACAATTATTACATACATATACGTACAGTGGATTCTAAGTGTTCTGTATATTCATGAGCTGTCTTTATTATTATCTTTTTGAGTGTGTTTTATACGTCAAATATTCTTCCTTTTTTTGCAAAACCTTTCAGTCTCATAATACTATACTTGCTTTAACATTTTGTTTTGTTATGAAAATTATTATTATGCATAGTATTCTTCATGATTTTAGAGGTCTGTGTTTGCAATTAATCTGTTGAAGAACAATGATGAACGTAATATTAATAAATCAGTTTCTGTCTGTTTCCGTGAACGAATTGTGATCCAAAGTCACATCCTTCACAATTTTTCAGACCTGTAATGAATTAAAGGACAAAGGAAAACATAATTAACGCAAAAAAAAATAATAATAATAATCTCATGTTGCAATTAGCTCAACTAATTAGAAGGGACACTTTTTATTCTAAAGGACCCGAGCTTATATACGACATTATTTTTCTTTAAATAATGATTTACGTTTTGATGACATATTTGAGAGTTGAAAACTCTAAAATTTCTGGCTATTATAAAGTGTGTATATATAAAAAAAAAATTGTTGTTTAGTCTTCTTTGTGTGTGCTTTTAGTAAGAGTCTTATTACAGAATTGGAATTGTCTCCATTGACCAAAAGCTTATGTTTTGGCCGGCGTCGGAATATTATTTCGCCGTAGAAAATCCGGATTAGTTTGATGATTTGACCTTATTAAACATGAATGAATTGATGGGATGGTTTTCATTTTAATATCCTTAAGTCAAATGATTTACTTTATAACACATATTAAAAAAAAAAATCCAAAACAACCACTTTTTTACTTTTTAGAAATAACCTAACGCAATAACTTGACCGGTAAGTAAAAAAGGTATTATAATCAACAAAAAAGAGTTAAATAGTGTTAAATGTTCGTTTGATTTTAAATTGAAAGACGTTGTTATATTTAAAAAAAGAAATGATTTTCAAAAACATCAGTCTAATTCCAACATAAAAAAGGGAGGGCAACAACTTTTTGGCATTTGAGAAATCAATTAATTTGGTCAATTAAAAAATATTAAAAGTATATTGTTTTCACTGGTAAATGTATATTATTTAGATTTTTTTTTTTCCAAACCTTTGGCTCATGATCTCTTCGGTACTCGGAATCAACTTTTAGATAATTCGATTTAAAAATTAACTTTCCATACCAAAGGAGATTTGAACTTTAGACACAAAGAAACAAATCTCCTTGTGTTACCACTAGACCATCACACGTTTAGTCATTTAGATTAAAGTCTGAGGGTTTTAAATATTATCGTAAATGTGCATTTGCATTATATCAGGTTTAGTGGAACGCGAGAGTGCATGTGAACCAAATAATTCGTGCTACGTCAAACCAATCATTGTGTTAGTTTTGATTGGCGTATTTGTTATGCAAAGATGATTAACATAAACACTTGTCGCGGTAAGTGTTAGCAATGCGTAAAGAAATGGAGAAAAAAATAGAGTGTCGTGGAATCTTTGCTTTTTTTTTTTTTTGGTTCTCTCCTATGATTTATTCACT